CTGTGAGCTATTGTGTGACTTTTAAAAATCTCGCCAATTAGAAAGCAATTTCCCCAGGAATACGCCGAGGATTTCCCTCTGGCGCGGCCGGCCACCGTATTTACACCCGTTTCATTCTACCCCTTTTCTCGTGTTAAGTTATTTTCATGCGTGTATATTCATACTTAACACCGGCCAGAGGTTCCGTTACAAAATCTTCTTTTTAGCCGGATGTTTTATTTCCCGACCATGTTGTACGTTGATTTTCGCGAATTTCCGTATCCAGTATTTACTTAGCTTTCGTTCGTAATTACTGCTGGTTGTATTAGGTTGACGGAAAGTAGATTGCCTTTTAAGTAATGCTGAAATTATATTGTTATTTCGATATAATTGCAAAACATATAGAAGTTTCTGGGGTGATTTTATATCGTGATAAATATTTGCTTTTGTGCAATTAGAATGAATTGTACTGAATGGTATGATTAATCTGTTGCGAATTAAAAATTGTAACACTATAGAGATGAATTTTAATTTATACATATGTCAAATACTAATTCCATATTAAACCTATTAATATTGTTTAATATAATAACTTCCATTTTCGAAATAAAGTATACAGTTCAGTTTGGTGAACTACGTTTAGGTCGTATACGTTTAAGACAATTATAATTGATATGATGTCCACGAGTTCTAATCAAGTAACAGTATTCCGCAACTACCAATTACGATAAAACATATTAACCTCGCTTTGCCAGCCCAAAATTAGCTACGATTCTCAAGCGCACGTCCATAATCCACTTGATTATTCGATGTGGCTTTCAGCATTTGGCTAATTTTAGGTCCCTTCTAGGGTAAATAATTCATAATTAACGTTGTACCCGTGACTTCCCGACGGGACCTCTTGAAATATGTATAACTGCAGCACCAATTTCTAGCACTAAACTTCCAGTCAAAGGTTTGATATGCACATCCAGTTTTTCCATATAAATGAATGGTTTGTTATTACTCATGTCAAAGCATCAGCCATCCTTTCATTAAATAGGCTATTGTTGTTTGCGATATAAATTTGCTTGATATCGATCATTACTATTAAATTCAATAATTATTAAACACTTTGATAGTGTCTCGTTATCTGGCAAAAAGATGATAATTTGGTAGATCAAGTCTGGTTATCTGTTTGCTGTTGAAAGTGTTAAGAATCTATATTTTTAAAAATATTATGGAATCATCGAATGAAATTCCTACTACACTAATTGTTTCTAATGCTCTATAAATCTCCATAAAATAGAATGAAAACACATTAAATTTTTCATTCCAACATTTTTTTAGATCTACTATAGTTTTAAAGATATAAGAAAATAGGAAAACACAGATTAACGTTTGAGGGGGTGTTTCACCCTAAACTTTCATTTTTGTGGAAGACTGAACACTTGAATGAGTATAATCGAACATATAGTAGATACACTGTAAAAAGTAAAACACGTGTCAAATATTTTTATGAGAACTACAATCTCACAGAGTTGCATCACAATCGACGATTGTCAATTTGGTACGTTCCCTTGTTAGTCACGATAGAATCAGGTTAAAGGTGATCCCAGCCTTTCATGCCATCTCCTAAAATCACTATCAGCCCCGTATCCGTTGACATTAGAAACGTTTGGCAGACAAACGATTCGCGGGATCGCGAACGAGAACAAGCCTTTTGGTCACCGATTCCGACGATCCCTCGACTTTCGTACAGACGGGGGGTAATCGTCCGGTCGGATCACCAGAGCCTTTTTCTTTCCTGGCAGCCTTTTATGCTAAACGCTCGCTTCATTTGAATGCCGCTAATGCGAAAAACCGATGCATACTAATGGAGAGTGTTTTCCTCTTTCTCGTCCCCCCTTTCCACCACCACGCCACTACTCTGCTGTCGTCATGGGCTGCCGGGTAAACATCGAAATCACCCGGTGTCGTTTCTGTGCACGTACATGCCCGGGCGTTTGCACTGCGACCGGCCATTTCTCCGGCAGGCTGGCTCTTTATGTCATATGCATACATTAAGCCCACGGTATACACGGTGCTTCGGAAGAAGCTGGGCCCCGCGTTGGAATTGAAGATTTCCAACGGTGTTTGAAAAACTTCAAGCTATTTCGTGGCGCATGCAAATCGTCCTGGTGACCAGTTCCACTGTAATTCACGCCCGGCGTTGCTTCGGAGTCTCTGCCGAGCTTATGAATGCGTAATGCTGTCGAGTGGTCCGTAGACATTGAATTCTTACTGTCATACGTACCAAGTATACCTGAAATCGTATTGGGAAACAACGTTTCTTTAGGAGAGGATAGATTATATTCCATAGACAGGCGAAAATAACGGTGGAACTCTGATTCGTTGTTGTTTCCTAATTAAAGAACCGAGAGCATGGAAATTGTTTTCTATCGATACTTCGTCAGTCTTGTGTTGGTTAATGCGTCATATAAATAGAGAAGCATTTTTTTTGTTCATAATGTTGCGTGAGAGTTATCTGAGTGAACAAAAAGATGGTAAAGTTTTAGCATTTTAAATTAGCATTTATATTGTTGCGATAAAGTATGTTCTCCTGACTGAAATCCGATGGAGAACATATGGAGTATCATTGTACAGAACATTGATGCTGGTTAGAAAAAATATCAAAAAGGGGATATCTTTTATTTTTTATGCATCGCGAGGTACGAGATACAACGCGACAAAATTTAATTAGAAGTGTACAAAATCAAATAGTTGAATTTATTTAAAATAGAGGTGGACGTACGCATTACTATGTTATTATTACAATTTAATTTTATTTAGGTACCTTGCGTTTAATTTTTGTGTAATAACGTACCTACTTTATTGTACTGGTTCTATATTTACGAAATAACAACGAATCAGTTTTCTGTCATTCCTTTTTTTCTAAGGAACGTAATGTATCTTTTCCTGGGGAAATATTGTTTGTCAACACGATTTGAGACATAACATAGGGTCACCTGTCCAATGAATCAACACCCCTCAGGGAATGAATATTATGTATAAAAACAAGTAAATGAAGTTATTAAAATAAGCAATTGTTACATATTGAAACAATTTGCGCAGCATTGCATTCGTTAGAAATGTGTATTTACTTAGTATTGTTCAATCACTGGTAAAACATATATTTTTTCTTTTTAATTAAATTCATGACATCTTTTCAATTTTTCAAATTGAAATCTATGCATTGTTAGAAATGGCACATATATTAAAAAATCTCATTTTTATGTGCTGAATATTTTTTAATACTATTCTCATTTAAAATTTGATATTAATAGTTACAAAATCGTTTAAGTGTTCACTCATTGGTACGTTTACCCTACCTGGTTCGTTTTTATTTTCACCACAGTAAATAGGAATTGAACATTTTAATATACTAATACACATACATACAATACATACAAAACGCAATATTTGCAAGAGACATTTGCAATTGAATTTTAATTGGCATGTCGGAGTAATTATACAAAAAGGTGGTGAAGTGATTTTCGAATCAGATGAAATTGGACCTTAAATTGAAAAACACGGCCCCGAACGGATTTTCAAAGACCGGGTAAACCAGCTGTAATTACTTCGTGTCTCAAGTCAAATACTGTAACCGTAAGGATAGCGGCGTTTCCGCGCGATTTCACGAACGATTTAATCACGAATTAATAGATCGCCGCAAAAGCGTTCCCCGAGGCTTCCAGGTCGGTTAATTAATTGCGCGTATATATTTGTCGAGGTGGTCCGAATTACTGGAATCCGAGACTTACTCCGATCCGAAACCGAATACATTGACCAAGGAACGTTCCGCATCCGATTGCCAACCGTGCCGGCAAATAACACAACTCCTCTTCCTCTGCTTCGTAAACACCTCCACGTCGAGGGTGGCATAGGTGCGCAACAGTGTTTCTCAAACTGCCTTGCCTATTGTGATCCGAAAATTCAACTCGACTTTTATCACTAGACTGCGATTAATATGAATTTATAGAAAATTGGATCGTTTAGAATTGAGTATACTAAAAAAAAGTTTCAAAAAATTTATTCCGATCCTCTTGTTATTTCGAATCTACTAGAACCCTTAACCCTTGTGTAGGCAACCGGATACCTGGGTACCCAAGTACCCATTTCTAAATTTTCTTGTCTAAAACAGCACCTGGTATATTATTGGAAAGGAAAACTAACAAGGAATGACAATTATTAACCTTTATGATACAGATTAACTTTCTTAGTATATCATTTACTACTGGTCAGTGGAACACGTGAAACTGAATTTTCAGATTTGAAAATTTTAGTTGTTTTCAAAAGAGGTTTTTGACTACACGGTCATACTAACTATATATGTATAGAAACTAACCATTTAAAACTTTTTCCCAAATTTCTGACAGATTATAATTGTACAAGAATTCACTATTTATTACTACTATTTGTACTGGTGTTTGCAAACAGTGATAATACAGCGACTTTAATGCACTTGGATAATTATTCATCAGTACCATGGTTATTGCTTATACAAAGATATTTCATAATAGAATATCTAACATGTAGTGTACTTTAAAATGTACGATTTACACGTTATTCATGCAGATAGGATTTATACAGATGCAGCTCCATTGAAGTAAAACTACACGCTTGGGGAGTTAAGGAATAAACTGAACAAAACCCACAAAAATGTGTACAAATAATTTTTCTGAACATTAAGAAATGTGAAGTATATTCTAATGCAACGTCTGCATCGACCGAAGAAGAATCATATTTTCCATGAATAAGTTTATTCTCTAATTAAAGAATTGATAAAAATTCGAAAGTAATATTCTATTCGAGATAATATAGTACGCAAGAGAAGAGGAAGCTTTTTAAATATTCGCGAGACCGGAAGCTAACAAGCCGTCGTTTCATTTGTGAACCACTGGCGTACACGAACACCGACTCACGACGCGAGGATCCGTCATTAGCTCGACAAACGTTTCTGTGGGATGGTGTAAAGCACGAGTAAACAAAACGATACTTACTGTACACGCGAATGGTGCCGTCGGTTTCTCCACGTGAATTTTTCGCGGTGCACTTGTAGCTACAGTAATCCTCCTCCTGAAAAGAATAATAATGATTAGTTTAGAGACGAACGGAATGGAAACAACGCAGGAAGCTCGATCAATTGAATAAGTCAAAATGATAAACGTCTAGCAAATACTGATCTCATGACAGAAGTAAATATTAAAAGTTTCATTTCACTGTCACAACACACAATGATAAGTACCACTAGTAAAATAAAAATAATTTTTTGTAGTAACATCTACTACCTTGTTACTAATAAAATCTTTCATCCCATCATTCGAGATCAGAATACTTGGTGAATCCTTCACTCTCCGTATACCGTTTCTCATTAGTAAGTTAATACATCAGACCTGGCTGAGTTTTACTTGTTCCCAAGGTCTATTAAGGATCTTTCAGACAAAGTCTGTTGATCTGTACTATAACCTTTTCGACACTATGGGCAACTACATTTGCTCGCCACGAAGTAACTGCCATTATACATTAAACAGTTCGTAAACTGTTAAAATAGGTTTAATATAAAATCATATTACATTTCAGTTCCTACTCAACGTTTGCTTCTTTATGTAACGAGTATTTACAATTTAATATCTAAACACATGAAAGCACTGGCAACTTTTGTATTACTCCAAAGTACGCGTGTGTATCGAAAGGGTTAAAAATAACAAGTTAAAATCAACAAGTTGTAAATAGAATCATGACGTGTTCTTAATAATAGTTAAAAAGTTTTCTTTACATGCGTGACTGTTTATCGTTTCATAAATCACGTTCAATGCATCCGTTCGTAACTTCCTTGCCCCCACCCCCCGCAGCTTGCCAATTTGTCCTTCATTTATTTTTCACGTCTTTCGCCCCACTATCCCCTCCCCTGGTTAAAACTTGCAAGATAGTTTTCGTTGATAACTTCTATTGTGGGCTGACTCGCGTCGCGGTTTGATTTATAAAGAAGACCGCGGGCCAAGTAAAAGTAACTTCTATCTTTACTCGTTTGTACTTCTGAAATTTTTCCCAGACGCATTTATTATCCTTGTAAAAGCAACGCAATAAAGATCCACCGATATGAAGGGTGTGGGGGAAGAGAGGAGGAATATATGTACACCACCGTTCATAAGTATTAGGACACCTGCTGATACGGTGTCATACATAACGTGATAAGTTGATCCAGATTATATTATATAACTTTCACTAGTTTTATAACATCATATTAGTAAATTGTATACATCGAGGTACATCCAAATGATTATTCAGGGTTACTTACTTTTCCGTAAGTGTCATAATGACTTTTGGACAAGCATGTACAAGGTAAACCAAATAAATAATTGTCTGTGTTTCAGTGAATGACCATTAGGCAAACAAATGTTAATTATAAATTTAAAATTTATTAAATGTTTATAAATGGAATGTAGTTACACTCTTAATATTCCATATTTTTAGTTTAGCGTATTAAGCAAACATTAGCAAGTACAATTCTTATTAAAAACAGTTCAGAAATGTAGCAGTCATTTACTGGGTATTTACAAATTTCCCATTTTATAAATCATTTTTTTTAAATTACCATAAGAATAAGTAATTATTTTTATAACAATTTCAAGAAAAATAATTTTAATTGAAATTTCAACATCTCTTTTGATGTGATAAAAAAATACATTCAAGTATTAATCTCAAACGTCCATAAATTCAACAATTTGGTCATTCACTGCCAAGCGACACGAGGAAGTTCCTAGCTTCTACCACAAGGGGACGCGAGAATTTTAAGAATATCCTTTCCATACGTGAAAATAATCCGCGAATAAATCTCACGAGGTGTCGTAAAACTTTTCAAATATCACCTGTTGGCTTCGCAGGTGTTGATGCCGAATAAAGTTAAGGGTAGGGAAGTATTTTCCCGCGTAATTCGGGAACGGAACCCAGGAGTCACGGAGATTACTTCGAGGACAGAGAAATCTTGGAGTCTTCCGGTTAGTTCTCCCTTTTTTTTGCTTAAAAAGAATATGACACGAGTTCAGACTGCGGAAAGGGCACAATCTGTTCGTAATCATGCATCTTGTCGCCGAGGTCGGAGGAAGAGTAGATAGTGGATGCAGCAGAATCGACATATTATACATTATGTTACTTCTAAATGTAAGAAAATATTTTTTTTATTTAAGAAGTTTAATAATGGTTAGATTTTATTATAAAGCATTGCGTTTACAGTTAATATTAATAATCCCATGAGGGTTTTCTTATTGTGGTTGGTTGTTTATTGATGCATGGATTACTGATTGAAGTATGTACCGTAAATATTTATATATAATAATATTCTTTTTATCTAAGAAATATGCACTATAACACCAGTTAGTAAAACTTATATTCATCTTGATGGTGGAATAAATATTCAATACAAAATTGTCATTACTTATTCAATCACTATTATTTAAGTTTTTATAAATCCAACACTCCAATCATTTATGTCCTCGGTATAATACGATCATTTGAATTCCGAAAAATACTGTCACGAGATAGAACCTACCTAAACGGAAAATCGAAAATTAAAATAAAATTACTTTATTCACAGACTTTTACATTTCAATGTTACCTGAAGCCGTCCCCATGTTAATACTTAATGTTGGGAGACAACAACACTACTTTATAGGGGTCCACTCCGTCAATATTTGAGGATTCTGATTTACGATCAATATAGCAGTCCGCGAATTCGAGAGGAGAGTCGTATGACCGGTGTATCCTTTTAAAGCTCGCCGTTTTAATACAATTTTATAACGCGGTGGTCGTTAAAGTGCCAACCACTTCTACTACGGTCCCCGCCACGAATAGTGAACTCTTTCTGAGCGAACGCGTTCGAAAGGCAATTTTTTTCCCGACATTCTTGCGAACAGATTCCATAGAGTAGTTTCGCAATGCGGTCGTTGCCATCAAATAAATTGTCTTCGCTTGGACATTAATGTTTTATTATTTATTTCGTGTATTAATATCGGGACAAAAGTATATTTTATTCCCGAGTAAAAACGCAAGAATAAGACGTATATCCTATCGAAAAAATATCAATAGTAATGGCATTCGAAATATCTAAATACAAAAAGTTCAAATCATTTAAACGCAGTTTGAATCAAGGAATAAAACTTACTTATTTTAAAGCCATAAAGTTATAAACTGTAATTTCTGTGAAACAAAAGTTTATACAAATAAATTGTGTTCTATATTTCTGTTTTCTTTTTTGTTTGTAGAATTACCTTTTTTAATAAGAAAATACAATGTTTCACACAGGCTACACGTTCGTACTACTTTTATAATAAGCATAAAAATTACCTGTTGGCCATTGATATTCCTTAATATTGAACGGACCAGAATTTCTATTTATTACGAAGGGCGAACCTAGTAATCACCTTACCTACGTATGATAGATTTATAGAAAATATATATTATAGGTGAAACATTTGAATACTTGTTCTAAGTATTGTATTTCCAATGATCTTAACTTCAAACTTTCAAACGCAGAATGACATAATAATCGATTTACGCAAAAAGAATTGCAGTGTCATAACATTTTTCATTTTTACGTCATAACTAACATTCTTCTGTTGCGTAAAAAATTAGTTCTAATACAATTGCACTCAGTGTAAAAAAGAACAACATGAAAATACGTATTTACAAAATTTTATGTGGAAAACTAGTAGTAATTGGTTATCACCTGAATGCCCCCACCCCCCTTTAACATTTGCAAATCGTCGCGATACTCAGCAGACATAGTCGAAGCAATCCTCGATATAATAACATTCGTGAAATATGTTTCACTCACCTGCATATCGTTTATGACTAGAACCATGTGGGTCTTGTAGAAAGGTATCTCGGGCGTCGCGGTGACATTGTATTTGTTGGACTCGCGTATCATCAAGCCGTCATCCCTGGTCCAGTAATTCAAAGAAATTGGATGAGCCTCGGTGTGGCATTCCAACGTGACCGGGTAGCCGAGGGGCGCGCCGATCAATTGGTGCGGGATCGACAGCATCGGGGGGACTGCAACGAGAAAAGTGATTGATTGGCTCATAAATGTTCCAATTACTAGCGATACAAGCCGGTTTCACGGGATCGATAACCGTTCCCCGCCGATAAATCTCGGGGGCTCTACGTAGCTCGACGGAACACACGCGTCTCTGCACTTTGATACGGGGTATACCATTGCTAACTGTGTTTCTTCCTGTTACGAATTAACTACGTTCACGGGCTGTTCGTTTTATTGCGGTAATTTGGTAGCGCGGGTGTTAGTATTATTGCACCTAAATAATCTGTAAAACGACGGAATGAAACATTTCATTGACGCTTTTCTTTTTCCATGGGATTAGCAGCTAATTTCGTTCGACCTTAATTAACTTGTTAATACATTGTTGACGGTATACTGCGAAACGAAATCGAGCCTTAGTGCCCGTACATTTTCGGTATATATGTGAAATATGTATAAATGCACCTATTCAATGCAATGTAAATATTTTATTAAACGAAATCTTTGATTGAAAATCAGTTTTGCACGCACAAGATGTGATTTGTTGTCTCGCGTCTTGAATGTCTGAAAACTGAATAACGTCGATTCCCGCTTACCGTCTTTTGCGCTTGAGAAATTAAAAATACCGATTCGCGTGTCCTGTCTTCAATGTTTGGCAAATGAAAAACGCCGATTTACGTCTCCGACGAGTTCAGTCGTTATTTGTCCTTGATTGTACCATTTTATTATTTATCGTTTTCTAGACATACACAATCAGTAAAAAAACGGAAAGAAGTATTTCGATTAGGTTTTCTTTTCATGGGATTTCTAGCTACTTTCTACCGAGTTTGATCAACCTGGTAACTAGAGAAGAGGAGTGTAGTCGTTATTTGTGCTTGACTCTACCTTTTAATCATTTCACATTTTCTAGACATAAATAATCTGTAAAACAACGGAAATAAACATTTAAAAATAAACAGAAAACATAAAATGTACCTTTCTTTATCGAAGGTTTCGGTTTTGAGGAAATATATGACGTTTGAAAGATGGCAAACTCGCGTGCTATTCAGTATCATTTGGTTGGCGTGACTGTTCCTTCCTGACTGTTTCTACTTCCTCTTATTGTAAGCATCAATAACATAACAGACGAATATTTCAGAGTCAATAGTCTCAAGGAGCAAATTTCGCACCAAAGAAAATTTATTCAATAATTTCAACTTCTTTATCCATTAGGAATTAGATCACATTTACTCAAATCATCAATACTAGCGTAACCTGTTCTTCAACTAATTTCGTTGCTTCTATCGGAATTATTTGTCAACAACATCACAAAACGAATTACTGCAACAGATGTTACTTCGTACAGTACCTGTATTAAAGTGCAATACAGTAGAAATATCTGTCATTTTATCTGAATATTCAAGATAATGTGGGTTTAGAAGAACCAACTTTATCCCCGTTATATTTTCTTGGATCTAGCAATTACAACTAGTACTGTTTTCCTTATTAAGATATCCTTTTCCAACGACTTCTCAACGTTGCCGTTTTTATTTACCGCTGCGATGCCACGTAATTACAGCAAAATTAGAATCAAGACGGTCGATTAAACGCAACGAATGAAAAACGTGCGGCCGTGCAGTAAAACCCTCTCCGTGCTTGTTCAACGTTTCGACTCGACCTTTCGCATTTTCGTTTCAAATGGGCTCGCTCCCCCCCGCGTGAAGAATGAAGACGAATGCCGGCGATATTTTATGGAAATTCGATAGAGCTCTTTGAATTAAAGGAACAAAAGAAATAGGCCATATTTTTTTTTGCTGTTTTAGCACGTTGTGACGGATCGTCGTTTCTAATGGACCACGCCGGTACGGAAATCTGTACATGTCGTAAGGACGTATTAACGTTACAGCGACTCCGATTGGCTACGAAATCGAACATTTATTTCATAAGCCCGGCGCCGAATAAATGTTAATGTCGATGCCCTGTAGCTAGAATGACGAATCGAATTCCGAATGTGACAAATGTCCACGCGATTTTTCACCAAAGGACCAATAATCTACCGATTCAAAGAAACAGGAATTAAAGCGGAAAGATATTTTTCATCTACTGGAAATCGGATGGAAACATTTTTAAACGTTTGGAAGTTATTCAATTTCACCGTGTTCTGTAAATTCGCGCAAAGACAGTTTAACTCGTAATCATTTCGCATAAATCACGAAAGATGACGTAGTTATTCGTAAAATTTAAACTAATTTAGAAAGAATGTATATAGAATATCATCAATCTTTATACGAATATACAGGGTGTTCCATTTAAATCGATTCATTTGAATATCTCCGAAACTTTTGACGATATTCAGAAATGTTGCAGACAATAGTTACATGGTATCAAGGGCCACACTTTTTCTGATGTGAGTACCTTTTTCTATATGGATGTGTACAGGTCATATGAAGGTCAATTTTGTTTTTCTTATATGGAACCGTATATTTTTGAATGCACTAATTCGCCATAAGTGACTTCGTATTTTATGTAGGGAATAATGAGAAGCATCTAACAGAATATTAAAAAGTATACGATTCCATTAAAAAAAACCAGGTTGACCTTCATATGATCTCTGCGCGTTAACATAGAAAAAAGTTATCCATATTAGAACATATGCCCCCCGATACTATCTATTTAACTTTTGTCTGAAACATTTTTTAATATCGTCAATAGTTTCAGAGATATTAGAGTGGGTCGATTTAAGTGGGACACCCTGTATAACTTTACATGAAAAAACTGTTACTATAAGAATATAATAAGCTTCTTATGCTGTATGAAAGTGTGCAGTGAAATTGTTAAAAATTTGTTTATTTACTTATTTATTTAAGTAAGAAATGTTTAACTGTCTCATTGCATATACATACTTATAGAGAATAAGAAGATATTAAAGTTTTATTGTGACATGTTTTTATATCTACTATAGTTTTCTAGATATATAGGAAAATAAGAAAACATACATTGACATTTAATGGGTGATTTCACCCTGAAGAACCGATTATAATAAAAACGAAAATTTGCTCGATGCTTTTATCAAGGTCCCCTATAAACCTGTGGATTTTAAATAAAATCGGAATATTCAGGGTAACGAGGTTCCCTTGTAAGACGTAATTTTCTAAATTTATATAGTCATATTTACGATTTGCCGTATTCACAATATCCATCCACACGTTTCAACTGAAAATCACAATTACCCTCACTTCCAGGAATCTAATCAAATTTTAAACGTAAAGCATCTAGCCCCGCACGATATGCGTACCGTTTCCGAAACATTAAATCCCAGAAGATAAGTCGCGTAGATTTAACTACGCTCGCCGTGGAGTACCACCAATAAAAAAGTAATTTCGCCGCGACGAATGGTTTTCCATGGTCGTCTTTCCTGCCCCTGATGATGCCTTCCATGGGACGGCGGAGTGCTTCAATTTAACTTAAACCTCGTAACAATACACCCGAGCGTCTTCGAACTTTCGCTGGGCAGAACTTTCGGCCATATTTTTTCGGGCTGTTCGGGAGGGCCGAGCGAACCGAAGCTTTCAGAGGATGTTCGCGACGAAAAAAAAAAGAAAAAAACGAAAAAGGGTGGGCTGCAAGTTACCTATACCGGAAGCAAGTAGTAGCGGTTAAAATTTAAATGACGAAGAATAATGGCCACGCATCGAATAGATTGGAACGAGACGACGGGCAACCATCGGGGAAGGCAGAAGAAGACACTTAAGCGGATTTTCAATTTTCCGTAAAATTGCTTAACAAAGTTTTAATTGCATCTATAATGGAAGTTAGTGAAGCTTTTTCAAGAAATCCGTGGTTCTAATCTGTTATCAATCGTGATGTGAATTTTCGACCGCATCGTTGTCTTTGAAAGGGTAGCGACAATTTATTAATTGGGTAGTGGCAATTTATAAATTATCCATTCTTACCAATAATGAAATGAAGAAATGAGCAATGGAAAAAGGAGAACGTTTAGCAATAGCAGCCCACCACTTCAGAGGACATCAAGAATCGAATTTTATAAACAGCACCATAATTCGTAATCTCTCGTTTTAGACAGTGTATCAATCACGTTGTGTATTTGTAACATAAACAATAAGTACACGTATTATTCTAACATTATTTCAGGGTTTCATTGTTCTTTGAATGTTCAAATTCACCTCAAGGTCATAAGTTACGCATTTATTACACATTTTTTACGCGTTGAACAGTGCAATGAGATTTATCATTTTGGGACGTGTTTTTGTTTTCTTTTCTTATTGTATATTAAAGAAATGTGTCCTTTTCACCTTCTTTAGGTAGAAATATGTATTAAATAAGAATAACATCATATTGCAGTTTTTTTAACATTTACCATACTTTTAGAATTGTCATTTTCTAAGGTAGATAGTCATTCCAGGACGAACTGTATTAGGGCACCTGGATTGTATGAAGAAATTGTGATGTTTGGAAAAAACGATATGTTTCATAGTAGCACAAACGTTGTCCATTGAACCCTCATATCCCTTAAACAATATTTACTCCAGACATTCAGTAGTTTCAGACACATTAGAAATTTCGTAATGCCTTGTAATATTTACTGTATATTCAATAAGTGTCCTAATACTTACGAGCGGGAGTGTACATTTCCCCTAGCTGGCTGCCAGTGTCTCTGTAGTTTCGGGCGGGGCCATTTAATTTTTATTCCGGGCGAAGCGTAGCGAGCATCGGATATTGTACAAGAAAATATCTGATTTCATCGTCGCGTCGTACTCGGGCCCGGAAGAAGACTGATACAAGAGCGGCGGGGATGGTAAAGTTTTAAAATTTAAATAAAGATCCACCACCGTCGAATGGTTTCAGGAAGCGTAACTTTCACCCCTCTCCGCGTTCCACGGGGGAATTACATGGCTCCCTATCTCGCCGCCTTTAACAGCGCCGTGGAAGCCCGATTCTCTTGATCCCTTAAGTTTCTCCGGCGGGGTGAGGGGGGGGGGGGACGATGTTTTATTTAAAGATCACGGAAACATCTTGA